AAGATAAGATGCCTGATCTGATGTGACCACACCTGGAATGGATTTCAGAAGGAAGAAAAGAAAGATGGAGGGGCAGTGCGGAGTTGAAGTAGTTGACAAAACCAGGATCATGCCAGCCAGTAAAGAGCAATGAGAAGAACCTGGCACAGAGTAGCATGGATGATCAAAGTCACCCTGGGAAGAAGATGGATGGGAGGATAAATATAAAGGTATCCAATCCTGGCTGAATGCATCGACAGCTAGAGATTGTGGATGAGAAATCAGAGGCCAAAACAGAGGGAATTTGGCAATAAGAAAGGTGGTAAATGCATCAAGATGAACATTCCCAACTGTGAGCCTAGCCACCAGAGAACACGAGAATTGAAGGACCACTCTGTGGGATAAACTTTTGTCCATTCTAGAAAGATGATCTGCCACGAGGTTGAAAGCACCCAGAATATGACATGTCAGGAGACGTCTCCCAAGTGTGTGGGCCCAAAAATGCAAATCCATAGCTTGACCACAAAGGAAACGAGAAATGAGATTGTTGACATAAGCTAACACTGTAGAATTGTTGGAATAATTCATGACAAATCGATTGCTGACTATAAAAAGAAATTGATCCAAAGCCCATCATTCCACTAGAAGCTCCAAGATGTTAATGTGATATGACCATTCAGTCAAAGACCACAGTGTGGAAGCCTCCTGCTGAACGATCCCCCCTCCAACCAAGTAGAGAAGCATCAGTAAAGAGATGGAAATCTAGGCTAGGAGGGAGAAGCAGCACACCCAATGATGTGTGGGCCTTGTTCAACCAACACAGATTGTCAATAAGGGAAGTAAGAAGGGAATTGGGAAAATCCAAAGGATCCTAAGCAAGAATCCATTGGTTGCATAGAGACCACTGAAGAGACTGCATATGTGTCTGACCCAAGAGGATAAGAGCTTCCATAAAAGTCGACAACCCCAAAAGTGATAGGACCTCACCAGCAGAAACAAAGGTAGCAGCAAGGGTGTGGAGAACTGAAAATTCCATCAAATGAGGAGAAGGATGGGCCCAACTGAAGTGGAAGTTGAAAAAGACAAGATATTGGGTAGGGGACAGGACTTCTCCAACTTGATAATACAACCCACTTGAGCAGCATCTGAAAGAAGGAAACGAGTGTGACAAGAAGACTCCATTTTGGAATGAGCTAACAGAAGCTAGTCGTCCATGTAGTGGTGTAAACATCACCTCGAGCATGTATAAGTTGAGCAAAAGCTTTGACCATCCAACAAAAGACATACAGAGGAAAAGAAAGCCCGCAGGGGAGTTGGGGAAGCTGATTCCATGCAATAGACATTCTTTGGATACTGGATGTCAATTCCTGGATTGATAGATCAGAGATGATCCTCGTATCATATCCAGAAATTAGTGTGGGTCTTAATCCTCGATTCTTGGGTTTGAGGTGAAGACAGTATGATCCTTATCCTACCCTCGTGTGGATATTGGTACCCCATGGGGATATTTTAGATGCAGTTGACTTACCGAGTACTGTCTGTCGTGCCCTAGCCACTCCACAGTTCTCATTTTCTGCCCTTATGTCTTACACATTCCACACAGGGTCGAAGAGTATACCTGGCTCAGAAGTGGTGCAGTTCCCCTCTTCTGATCTATATCTCTTTTTTTTTAAGGAGTATTCTTTGGATGTTTTTGGGAATACTTCTTTTGTACCCTCACACTGGTCCCTCCTCCTTCTCAATGTGGAATTCTTGCTAATCTTGTGAGAAGTGGTAAGTACCATATCAGAAGTTATAATTTTCCTATACTGAAAATGTATTTCCGATAGGTACTCACCTCACCTTACAGTTCCCAGACTTTTTCCCAACTTCTCCGGTGCTCACACTTTCTGTCATACTTCGAAGTGAAGGTTCAGTAGAGGAGTGTAGAGTAAGTCACATGTGAGACATGAGCATATCATGCTACTATTGATCAAGAGATGATGCATGATGACTTACATGAGAGACATGTTGGAATCTTGCAATTCCAATAGGGGGAGCAGAAGGCTTTTGGCATGCAACTCTGAACAAGAATAGCTAATTTTGAGTGAGGGGGGTATTTTTCCATATTGGAAACAATATATTTTACAAATAAAAAGGGAAGTCATTAAAAATTTCAAAATTTTAAAATGTAAAGACCTGAATAAATCACAAAAGAAAACTAAACCCATATTTAAAATAAAAAAAGAAAGATTTGATCAACACTTATCTTTAGTAACATTTGAAAAGAATCAGCATTATAATACCAGAGTTATATAGAGCATCAAAGGTACATACAGAACTTTCTTTAATGAGACCAATACTATCAATGATCAGCTATTTTAAATATGAATTATATGAATAAATTGTAATTGATATAAATTGTGTTTATGAAACACCTATACTCCACTTTGACCTTGATCTTTAACTTTTGAAGGTCATGGATCAATCACATTTAGAGCTTTGTGTGTAGTACTTGTGTAAGTTTGATCAAAATCTATCCATCCAATCTTGAAATATCCTATCCACAAAATCTGGAAGGATGGATGGGGCAAACCAATCTACCCTAATCTGCTTCTTAGTGGGGGTATGAAAATTACGAACTGTTATGCAAACAATCCAAAAAACAAAAAATCCTAAGAACAACATATGGAGCTCTAACATACACTCAAAAACTGATGAAGAAAATGTTAAAATTGCACAAAACAAAATAAACAAGAATTAAAAAAGGATCTAAAATTACCATTAGAAGATGTGAACTAAGTGCTTGAGTTACAAACTAATAATTGTTTTAGATTCACAATAGATTTCTATGGACAAAGAAAATATTTAGGAATGGGAAGTCCATTATCCTCAGTATTAGCAACACTATTCCTCATTGGGGCCATTAACGTAGCTATGTTTTCATCACTTTTCTGGTAGAAATATGTTGATGATATCATATGTGGTTGTGGTTTTAAAGGCAAAAAAAGAAAGTTAGCATCTCCCTACACTGAAAATGTATTTCCAATAGATACTTACCTCTTTTCACAAAATAGCTTTTCTCAATTAGTACTGCTCTCTTATCGGTGTAAATTTTCAATGTTCCACCACTAGCCTTCCATTTATTTATGACATAACAAAACCACTAGAGAGAACAAGTAGCAGTCCTACAGAACACCCCATCTCTACAGTGTTCATAACCCAATCCTGTGATGTAACTGTTTAGGCATAGATGAAAAGAGAACGGGGACACAACCAACATCTGGCAGCATCTGGAATTATACATCAGGACTGCAGTAGGAAGGGCTACAATGTAATTTACATCGAGCATGGTCACAGGATGGACAGTGTGGATTTAAAAAAAAAGTATATCTGATCAGATACCACTTGCCACAGAGTGGGATCCACAACAAACTAGCTGAAAAAGGCCCTGAAAAAGTATGAAAAGGTAGAAAAAAGCAACCTTTCACAATTCCAAAATGCAAAAAGTTAAATAAATAGTATAGAAAACTAAGTTTGTAGTATAAATGAAGATGTCGACAAATCCGCAAACAAAAACCAGCACATTTTTCCAATGATTCTGCCAATTGAGAAGTGATTAATGAGTGCAAATATGAAGAGGGTGCTGGTTACAACAGGAGTTGTGTTGCACTCCAATTGGTGGAGGGCTTCTGCATGATAACTTACATGTAGACATGCAGAAGTGGGAGGTGGAAGGCTAGTGGAACAGTCTTGAAAATTTGTGCCAATAGAAGGCAGTACTAATAAAAAAAAGCTATTTTATGAGAAGACGTAAGATATCGTATTAGAATAACATTTTTTATTACCTTAAAACAACATAAAAACATGAAATTTACAACAGAAAAATAACAAAATGTTTATCTAAATTTTCTAAACATGAACATAAAAAAAAATTTTAGAAATTCACAAAAAGGCCACATTTAATGAAACTTATGTAAATTGGTTTTCTGCACAAAACATAAAAATTGGGACATCCAAAAATTGTATTACAGCACTAAGACTGCACTGAAGAAAACATAGAAAATTAAATTTAAAACACAAAACAATGCTTCAAAACAATAAAACCATTACCCTTCAAACACAATCAATGAAACACTTAAAACAATAAACCAAGAAAAAAATGAATAAAAATAAGCTAATAAGAGAAATGAAAAAAACAACAACAACAAAACAATAAATATATTTATAGGTCAATACCATTTGTCAGTGTTATTAGTGAAAAACTAATTGGACTATGGTATAAAATAAATGAAAAGCACAACATGAAAACTGAAACAATAAGTAAACCAAGAACTAATTAAAAAATAATCTATCATAATGAAGATTACAGTAATGACAGTGTACAAAATAAAACATATTAACTATGGAAGTTTATATATGAAAATAACAATTTGATGCAAGGAACATGAAAAACTAAAAGAATCAAACATACATGTACATATCATTGAACATGTATGTTTTGATAAATCTATAAAATGTAAAATATGTTGCATGTAGATTAAAACACAAACGAAAAATTGTTCAAGCCTTAAGAATCAAACATAAGTAAAACATCTGAGGTACCACTATATTTATATTACATTATTTAGATAAAACAATAAATCCATATAGAGCTACTATCATGTTAAATAAGATTATCTGATTGGATGTACATGTAATATAAATGTATTTTTACTTTAATTACTGTACATGATCATTTCACACCTTTAGAAATAAAAGTAATATTCCTATCAAGAACTGTTTCAAGAACTTTATACATGTTTAATTAAAAAAATCTGTTTTACAACATCATTTAGAGAGAACAAAAGTAGGAATCTAGCGAAGTTAAGTACAAATCTGCCTAAATACCACCCAAAAACAAACAAAATCAAAGAGTTATTCCAGTGGTCTCACTTCCAAAATCATCAAAAGATTAACAATATGTTTTCTTAATGCAGTCAAATAAATGTTAATTGTTCTACAGTATTTTTTTTATCCCCATATGAAAATGTAACTTTTACCTGAAGACATAAAATATGGAATGCGAAATTTTCCTGACAACACCCGAGTTCTGAGGCTTTGCAAGGTACTGCCATAAAAAGGAAGGGCACCACACACAAGTACATACAGCACTACTCCCAGACTCTAGGGAAATATTTTTTACACATTTAGTTAGTACATCATAATTGCACCTTAAGTAATATTTCCTAGGAAAACTAAATGGCAAATGAGTTATTTTAATAAAAATGAATGAGTTAACATAAAATTGTTTATTATAAGAACAAAAAAATCTGCTTTTGTTTTACTAATAATCTTTATCATATGCCATGATTATTATCAAATTACTTGAAATTCTTGCTAAATTTATCACTTAATGATTTAAGAAACTGTATAATTCAAAGAAAATATGTATAAAATACTTTAATTATTAAATTTTGCAAAATAAACTAGTTGCAACAGATTGAAAAATAAGTTAAGTGTAGAATAGTTAAAACCATGAGACTGTTTGCAGCATTTAAATTTTCTGGAGAACTGAAAACTGTATTGAAAAAATTAAATGAAATAAAGATTAAGATTTGCAGCATTTGGGATTAAAAGGTGAGACTGTTACAGCACTCACATGATTAGCATGGACCTGGATTCAAATCTCCTTTGCCTAAGTTTTAAGCTCTCCAGAAAAATAAAAAATTCTATGTTGAAAACTTTCATGAGCAGAAAAGTTTATGGATTAAATTGAGACTTTTGCTGGTATGTGATGAAAATAGGATATGTCAAAAAAGCATAATTTTTATTACACCCTATTAGTTGTATGCTCTTTGACTTGAATTATATATACTTTTATTTCTTGTTCATCTGTTTAACCAAATTTTAATACTCTATACTCTAATACTAATGGACACACTAAAGTTCTACCTAAACAAAAGATAATAATTTCCAAACTTACAGATTAAAATTGAAATACTCAATCTTTAACATTTTGAAAATTTGTCAAATACACTTACACAAATTCACTTCACATAATTTATCATAGCATAATAAAATGTTTGGTAATTAACACTACTGATGTTACAACTGTCCACTGAAAAAAGTGAACACAAATTTCTTGTTAATGATATTTCAAGGAATGATCTAACTATCTACTATAATTCAATATAGTTTCTAATACACATTTAACTTAAAAAACTATGACTTACCCACACATCAGCTTTTGGCCCATCATATTCCTTTCCTTCAAAGAGTTCTGGAGCAGCATAAGGTGGACTGCCACACCAAGTTGACAGAAGTCTTCCTGGTTTATAATAGTTGCTGAACCCAAAATCTATTATACACACATATATATAGTTTACATTGTATAGTAATCAATGTAAAAATACAATCAACATGTTTTTTCATTTCTTATTGCATAAATCAAAAGACACTAATGTTTATATCCAAAACATTGAGGGTGTTTCTTTTTCGTTTTTAAATTTACATAAAAAAATGCAAAACTTTGATAGTAAGGAGAAGTCTAGCTACAAATAAAGAGAAAGAATAATTTTAAATTTACATTTAAGCAGCAGAATATTTATAACAAAGCTTTACGTTACAAGTATGTAAGTCGAAAATATATAAAGTTACAAACTTTTCATTCAGTAACAAGCTACAATAAAAAATTAATGTGCTAATATTCTATATATAAATTGTTCTTCAAGCAAGTAAGCAACAGAGCTGAAATTTAAGTATAGTATGTGTACATTATTTTGTTCCCTGAATATAGTTAATGAATCAGATTCATTGGAAATATTCACTAGTTCAACCTGTAGAGCATAAGTACTCTTAAATTCAAAGTGGTTGGAGTTAGGATCTGACTGCATAAACTTGTTTAAATGAATCACATTTAGCAAAAATATTTCACTGATAAATACATGAAACCATGGCTCATATGCTAAGAGTAATCTAATAGTGTAGTTGCAAGTTCTGGTGTATAGTCACTCATGAAATGCATGCAGGTCTTCTTGACCTCATGCTGGATTTTTAATGTCTGATTCTAACTATTTAATTACTGATACTCACTAAAGCTTGCTCTCCATCAGCAGTCAACTAGCAATTCCTAACACTTACAATATACTTTTAAAACAGTAGTTACTATACGACATAGCTGAATTTCCAGTACATTGTCAATGTAATGTACAAATCAACTGTATGCTAGCACACCTAAATCCATCTCACCACAGAATGTGATTATACTAAAATAAGTTGCCATTTGACTGCCTCGTTGTTTGTCCAATTTCAAGCACTTGAATTGCTCTGGCAATATTTATTTCCATCAGAAACCTTTCCCCACAACTAGCAGGTACTGTTACACACTAATTAAAATTATCACCAATAATCACCAAAATATCAAATGATGAAAAATTTAAATGAAATTTGGTGTTTAATATCTTTCCATAGTGGCTGTCACATACTAAATGGTGAAACGATGTGTAATATGTATACAAAAGAACAAATCAAATATGTTGATGCACAAAACTAACAGCAATTTGGTTTTCTAGAACTGCATTCAGATGTAATTCTGAAGAGTACTGATCATTTCTCCCACTTAATTTTTGGTGTAGTATGTTTTCTATCCAACACACATAGAAGTGGTGCAAAATATTTTAGTTACACCACTAAATTATAAGTACAGTGTTCTACTATATTATTCATCAGAGTTTTTAGCCAAAGATATATTTTATCAACCTAATTTTGTGTAAAGAATATAATTCTTTAAAAAGCAGTAAGAAATTAGCCTCTTTTCTACATAAAAAGGATAATTAACAAGTAAAACAATGTTTTAAAGACATGTAAATGTAAATTCTAACCTGCAATTTTGATGTTCATATTAGAATCTAGCAGGAGATTCTCTGCTTTCAAGTCTCTGTGAACTACAAAGCGTTGATGACAATAACTCATTGCTGCAATTATCTGTTTGAATTTTTTCCGTGCATAATTTTCTGTCATACGACCATTAGCCACTAAATGGTCTGAAAATGAAACAGTTAAGACATATTAACAGCATTTTATTCTACTTATAGTTAGAAAGCTTAAAACATAGTCATCTAGATGGTAATTTTTTCACTCTGCTTAAATGTAGAAAACATATCAGTGATATTGAATCACAAATTATCAGAATTTTTTACAAATTACAAAAGAAACCATGATTTTAATTTCCAATAAAAGGAATATTTTATTTTGCCTGTCAAACACTATGGTGAACTGAATAAAATATTTCATTTAGATTTCAAACTTCAATTTTCTATATATCAAATATCACACAGATTAGTTACTTAATAATTAATCTTAAAGTTTTTTTTTTAAAATCTGACTTTAAAAACAATATGTATCTTTAGCATTTTATCCTTCAAATGCAAAAGTAAGTTTAAGAACACAGTCACTCACAGCAGAATGCCAATTCTGATACTGACAATAAATTTTTCTGTTGCAGAATGTCTCTGCAAAACATGGAGTTTGGTTGTGGTTACTTCATAGAAAGATAAACAACTGAATATAATTAAATACAGGTATAAACGTAATGCTAAGCTGTTAAAAATTTAAAAAATTACAATTTCTGTATGCTTGAATGCTTGTGATTCTTTTTTTTTTAAACATTTCTCTTGATTTTTACTTTTAAGCATGAATTCTGACTTAATTATAATATAGATTATTTCTGCAACACCAACATGAAAGTTCAATATATAATTTTATTGAAATTAAGATTTTCTATAAACACAACATAGAAGTAATGACATATATTTATATATAAGAAATATTCTGAACTTTTATATTTCACATTGTAAGTGTAGATCATACCAACATAAAGTGCATATTTTTTATAACACGTATAGATTTTTCTGATCTGCATTTCCACTTACAGTGTACTATATACAAGACTTAATATTCACTTAACATAGAAATACCTTTCACTTTAATCTGAAATCATAAGAAATGTATGGCTCCACCCCTCCCCCTGCAATTTCCATAGTTTTGTTACAAAAAACATGAAATTGTGAGCATTACACAAAAGTTAATTACATAATGATAAATCTCAACAGCTTCCAAATTAAGCCACAGAACTGCAATTTTTACACTTTTGTAAATTTGGCTTTTATGGCTAAAGTTTTCATGTCTTAGTGTTCATAATATATTGTTTCTAACCAGTTATGCAACCCATATCAATGAGTCTAGAACAAAAATTTCATTATAACAACATTTTAACTGTCATCAGACTCAATACACTTTTAATAATAATTTTTCAAATTTTAAAATTCTTACATGTCCATTTGTACAGTAAGTAAAGACTGATCTGTGTGTGAGTTTGTACTTATCAAGTTAACGGAAACAGAGCTTTTGGAATTTTTTTTACACTCAGCATTAAGGTAGTTTCTCTCTTATAATAAGCTTGATTGTGGTTGAAATTGGACAACCAAAAATTTGTTCTACTGAAGAGTTTATTTTAACATCCTACATTTTTTGAGAATTCAGTAGAGTTCTTATAATCAAGTCTAAATTCAGAATAATTTTCGTATCTAGGTAGTGTTTAACTGACTTTCTGTTGTATAATTTTTTTTTCAATATTTATTTTTACATTTAAATTATTTCTCAAAACAAAATTAAATTATTTACACTGTTTTGGTAAATTATGTAATAAATATTAAGAGAGGTAAATGCAAATTCAGTAACTGTCATCCCAATTTTATACATAAGGATAAATGTAATCATCAATTCATGATCACTAAGTCTGGTAAGCATGTTACAAGTAAAGTGTATACAATTTGGACACAAAAACTGATTCAAATTCCTAAAATTAGGTAATATTATCCCTGACATAGTAATTAAAATTTCACTCACCAAATATTTCTCCCTGACTTGCATACTCTGTTACTAGATATATCATCTTTTCTGTTTCCATAACCTGGAATTTATTTCTAAAGTTACCACATATCTATTTCTAAATATAATAGTTGACAAAAACTAAATACATTTTATGGTCTTTAAAACCCAATATTATATATTATGTTTTTACAGTGATGAAATTAGGTGATATAATCATAAAAACCAGCTTTATACTCACCTAAAAATTTCCTACAGTGTAACTTATTTCAAACACAATGGCAGAAACTTAGAAGAATGTTTTCTTTTTTCAGTTTTAATATCCATATTTAGAAAACATATAACTGATACATAAAGAAAAAGTATGGAAATATCTGTCACACCCAAAACTAGACAATAAAAATTAATAATGCATTAAGCATCAATTAAAACTTGTCTATACTTGTATTATGTCATTTTAATATATTTTCCATTGACAGATTCTATGTAATTATTCTTAAAGACACTCATAACATGTGCATAAATAAGACTCAGACAATTTAAACAGAACATCTGGATTTGTCTCTCTAATGAAACTCTTGTCATAAAAGAGATATTTAACCTCTCAAAACTTCAAAGATGATTTAAACAGCATCACACCACCTATTTAATTTATTATGAAAGCAGGAGTCAAAATCAAATTTTCAACTTTATGATTAAAATGAATTTCAAACAACTGAAATCCTTTCCTTGTTGAGTTTGAACTCATACTGTCAATAACCACCTGACTCAAAGTTTTGAGTGTCCTTAGTACAAAGCAGAGTATACATCAATTCACCCATAATTCTCTATGACCCTCACCTTTCACATAACTTATTGTACATGTCATAAAATTTTACATAAGCTCTACTTTCCTGCCATAATTCACATTTATAAGTTGCAGTCATGATAAAAAAAACACATATCATCCAGTTGTGGGGAGGTGGTTAGGAATGTATTTCAGAGATTTACCTCTTTTAAAATTCATTTTAATCCAGAAAGGTTAACTTCAAATCAAGTGGACATACCTCTCAAATGCTGAAAGCCAGAATACCTAAATTAAAAAGGAGGTGGAAAATGAAAAGAGTTAACATTTGACAAACAATATAGGTTACAAGGCAAAAAGTTGGTAACTTAGACCACACCCAATATGTGGTGAAGCAGAGTCAGAATAGCACCTAGAACCAGAAATATTTGAAGAAATTCATTCAAATAGTGGAATGGTATCTCCTTGAGATAGACAATGCAGCAGAGGAAGCCCTGGTTGAGCTGGCCAGTGTTGAGCAATCAAAAGAATTCAACATTTCAATGAATTGGCCAATACTAAAAGAAGAATGCAAAGAAGAAAGTAAGCATAAAGAAAAAGGTTCTTTCAAGATTGGCTCAAAGCCTCCATCAGTGAAAAGCAGTATCTGAAATTGAAGATCAGTTAAGGGGAATAAGATGGTTGTTTCTCATTGCTAAGGCATTGATTACAGGACAACCAAGCCATTCTGAAGTGTGAAGGGTTCACTATGTAGGGAGAAGCCAATGATTTCTGTAAAGAAAATCCACATGAAGGTTTATAACACCTAGTACATGACAAGCTCTGAGTTACCTATGAGGTGAATAGAACCAAAAATGAAAAAAGAGAACACAGAAAAACTAAAGCTACGAAATCCACTTCCTCCCTAATTATTAATAAACATCACCATTGTAAAACAAATATCTGTGTAAAGTAAAACACACTGGTGTAGCACAGTTAGAAACTTTTGACAAGTTCACTGAACTGCCCAAATATACAAAAGGTTGATGTGGGATTCTAATTCCTGAGGAGACCAGATACCTTAAAAACAACATTCCCTTAAGACAGCTCTCCGGCTCTCAAGTGAGGCATCTGGGAAGAGGTGCAGATTTGTATGAGGTGGTAGAAAAAGGGAGTAGCAAACTATAAATTTAACCAAAATTGAATGTCATCAAGAGTGATAGAAAAAAAAATTCCTGAAATAACGGGTCAAAAGATAGATGTCATTTAGAAGCAACATCCCATGAGGAATGTTGCATATGAGCTAGCCCCAAAATAATAACATTATTAAGTGAAGACTTTGCCTCTATAGGAAAAAAAAAACGTATCTTTGGCAGTAAGTGTAAAAGACAGAAGAGTATGACAATTAGACTCCAAAGCTTGAAATGCAATAGGAGTTTGTTGAAGTGTTCCTTGAGCTGTGATGGTCCAAGATCCTAGATATACCAAAAACTGTGTTCTAAATGAGATGTAGAGTTATGGAAAAGCCATCCAATAAACATGACCACCTGTATGGCCAACTTAGTGTGTAAGAAATGGAATGGATGAAAGAGTCAGAAAAAGCCAGATGCCCCGTGTAAAAGTTGATGTTGAGTGAATGGAAAAAAACCAGTAAAACTAGAGTACCTGTCAGAAAACTTTGAAGCCAAACGTAAGGACAGAGGACTGATAAACTACATGCCAATACCAAAAACAAATGATGGGATAGTAAAATAAAGATATAAAGATACACATCCTGTATATCCCCCCCAATGTCATACTACAGTCATGACTAAGAAACTTTTGTTACAACCTCATGTATTCAAATTGAAAATGATGTTGTTCCAAGAAAAGTTTAACTGAGACAGGTCTATGACAGGTCTCCAAACTCTAAATTTCCTTAGATCTAGAAGAACTAGAAAGATAAAAGAATATAACCTAGAGAAATGAGATAAACAATTTAGCTTACTGCTTTCTGAAGATATTTAGACTTCTTGATCCAGAATTTGTGTGTGGCTTTGATGTTGGTCACTCAGTATGGTTGAAAGGAATGAGCAGAAATAGCTAACAAGTAGATATAAAAGTAAGGTAGGAAAACATTACTTTCTGGTTGTTTTAAAGGAAATAATACAAGAAGTCCAAATGCAAAAAAATGATTCAGCTCTTATTGGTATGTTGTTCTTGAAAGGAAGTCAAGTGAGGGTCAAAATTCCTGTAAGCATATGGTTCAAGAAGAAAGATCATCCAATATCAGCTGAAAACAAATGGAAGGAGGGGTAAGTATCTATTAACACAGTACTGGACTAAGGTGTCAATGGAAAATAAAAGCACATGATAATAGAATCAACATCAAAAACAGCCCAGAGTAAAGAAGGCTACAAGGTAAAGATGTGTTTCTGACCAAAGTAAATAGGTAGAGAGTAGATGCAGATACAAGAGTAGATGATAACTAATAATTAGTCTAATAATTAGAAGGAAGTCTCTAAATGAGACAAGTCAAAATGCACAGAGGAATTTTTATTGGTTGTTTGGCACAGATAGTTGGTTTGTGCCAACAAAACGCCAAACAACAAACCAAAACAAGTAGAGAAAAAACTGACAACTGGTCAGAGAAGAATACCCTCCTCCAAAAAAATATAACTGAGTGTCAGGAACCTGAGAAGTAGATTGAGAAGAGGAAGATGACCCAACTAAAAAGGGTCTAGATCTATAATTACTTTAGAATATATCTTTAATCAAATACATTCATGTAATTTTTTGAAGTTTTTGGGCAAGCATTCTGTACATATTATGATATTCTACATCAGAACATAGCAAACTCCTCCTGACATTGAAGGCCACTGAGGTTACTCCCCATGCTACTTTGAATTCCTCACAAGGAGTTACCATTGAGAGAGATTTAAAGAACATCCCCGAGTCAGAGATCCTCACTAGTTTCTCCAGTCAAGGAGTTTCCGCTGTATCATATCTCCACTCATAAAATGGAATTATGCAGCCTACCAATGTTCTTATACTGATGTTTACGTCACTACGTCCACCTATCACTGTCAAGGCAGGTTATCTGAAATGTAAAGTACAGCCCAATATTCATAACCCTCTCAAGTATTTCCAGTGTCAATGGTTCAGAAATTCTAAGGCATCTTGCTGTGGTTCTTTGACAAGTGCTAATTGTGGTGAAAAAAAACATGATGCCTACGAGTATCAATTGAACCATCACTGCATCAATTGTGGTGGTCCCCATACCTCATACTTTCATTCTTGCCCTAAGTAGGTGAAGGAAAAAGAGGTACAGTGATTGAGGACTGTCAACAAAATTTTTTACCCCAAGACTCAGAAATTGTTGTCCCCTGTTCCATCTCAGACATATACTGCTGCACTCCGTTCCACTGCTACAGTGGGAGCACAGACAGATTTTTCTGTGCCTCCAACAGTCTTTTTTCTTTACCAGGAATGCAAGAGTTGACAAGTCTACTCCTGTCTCTGTTCCCACTGTTGCATCCAGTGACTGCTCAGGTCCCTCTTTGACCCCGAGGTGCAAAACCATTATTCAGCCATGTACTCAATCTCTGGAGTCACCATCCTCTGACAAAGATCTGCCCAAACAACCCAGGGCAGATTCCAAGGAGGTCGATAGACCTATTTCTACTACAGAAAAATGTGGTAACAAAAAAAGGTTCTCCACCCAATTGCAACTGTGATAAAGGCATTCATTCAAAAAACATCTAGATATTCATGAGAGAAAGGACCAGCTTAAAAGGGTCATCATAAAAAAACTGATTACTGGAACAACATCTAGCATAAACAGGACTTGGGCAGTTAAATATATTATAGTCCTGTTTGCTTTGATGTGATAGTTAATACTGATATTTAATTATTAACCTAATTTTATTTACTTCATTAATATATCACTAAATAAAATTTTATGTTACTCATTTACAAACATATTGCTTTGGATGTTACATTTTAAACTATTTTCAGTAAATAAAATTTTAGTGAACTTGTGAATGTCATCCAGCTTGAGTTTTATTTCATTTCATTTAAAATATTTATTATTCAATTTTTATACACATTTGATTCTTAACCAAATTGCTTCAACTCCCACAAGGTAACATTTTCTTAAATCGAAAATGTATTTCCAAAAATACTTACCTTCATTCACACTACAGCTATTACTCAACTGCTAAGGTTTCTTTTCCTTTGCCCATCTAAGCATTGGTCTGATATTTTTCTCACTTACTCCAATCTTTTATTCCCCCCACTTAATTACCCTTGGCAATATCTGACTCATGACATTCTCCACC